TGGCAGCGAGCCAGATGCAGCCATCAAAAGAGCCACATCTGGCTCGCGAGCCATAGGTTCCGTACCCCTGCCCTAAGACCTTCTTCTAACTTTGTGTGCTGTTACCCAAAAGGTTGAGAATTTGCAGCTCTGCTGGTCTTCTGTTACTGTGCAATGTGTAAGAAAAGTATGGATGCCAGAAAAAACAATCCCTCTCCCCTCTCCCCCCATCACAATATATATATTAAGGAAAACACAGTGCAGGAAGGGAGATAGGTGGTAATTGAATCGAATAGAATCCCATTTTTGCCTTACTGCTGGAGGATAGCCACTTAGGGCACTTAAAATGAGAACATGATTAATAATTAACTTCTGCAAATCTATATCACCCTTCACATAAATCTCACCTGCTGAGAATTTTAGAGACATGGCAGCAATGAGTTCACACTAATCACAAAATATATTAAGAAAGATACACACACACACACATACACACAGACATACACAAACACAGAGAAATTGCTATGGTAATGTAGCTCCATCAAAAACTGCTACCAAATTGTAATTTTTAGTGTAAAAGAAAGGGGAATTAAAGACATAGAGCATAATCACACTGACTTTAATGCAACTATGTTTTAATTTAAATAAAAAGATTCATTTTTGTCTTAACTCCACTACTTTTTAAAATATAGTCCCCGAAACAAGGGTGGTCCTTAGCCTCAAAAAACTGTGGACCCTTGTTGGTAAATTAGATACAAGTGTTGATGCAAGAATGAAAGTTGCAAAATAACCATACATATTATAACAATTGTCTGCTCTTTTGGTTTCTAGGTTATGGTTCATGCTTAATTCAAATCCACAACTTGGCTTGCTAGTTTTTATTTTAGTGTTTTGTGTGAACAAAGGCCAAAAATATTTGTTTTATACATCATGGTAGTTTCTGGTTTGTCTGATTCCAGTATTACAAGATGTGCACATCTGTCATCTGGTCTGGATAACACTCTTAGCTCCCACCATTTGGTCATTATTGATCTGATTCCTACTAAGGGCACATCCCTTCCTGCACAAAATTAAAGAATACCTTCAAGGATGAATGGTCAGCCTGTAACCTAGGGATACAAACAGTTCTTCACCTGAATTCCAAATGCACATTGCAAGTTTAGATCACCCTGAATAGGGAGTAAGGCAGAAAAAGAGAATTAAGGGGGCTTCAAAGAGAGAAAGTTGCATTCATTCTGACTGTGCCTGTCACCCAAATTATCCCAGAGGGAATGCAGCCTATAGCAAGTAAATGATTCAGTACCCTGGCTTGAAGGTCCTGAGAAAAAAAATACATGTTGAGTTGATAATGTAAATTCTGAACTACTCCTTTTCTCCAGCAATCATTTTTTTAATTATTGTTTTATGTTAGTGGAAAATGGTTCAGAAAACATAAGCATGTTAATCTTATTACATAATATCCTATCATACAGAGAGTTTTCCATAATGCTGGGAGGAGGGAAGTGGTGATAAAATAAATGTTTTTCGGTTTCTGGCCAAGATTACTGCCACATGGAAAAGCCAGATAGAACATAGTTTGCAATGATATCAGGCAAGATAGTTAGCCAACCCTGAATCATTCCTAACAAACTGCCAGAAATAATGAGAAAACAGAGGATGTTGAATGAAAGTACAGTGACCTACCAGGCTATTAACTTGTGAAGACACATTATCAATTTTTCTTTGCCCACTTGCTGTTTTGCATTTAGTAAATATTCCTGGGGACTGAAGCAATGTTGGAACAGCAACATTTATAGCCATGACTTTAAGACTGCAGTGTTGAAGTGCAATCGAAATGATATGAACTCAGAAATAAGTTCAACAGAATGTATTCCCCAGGAAGAGCATTTGGGACTGCAGTTTTACAGCATACCCAAGCATTCAGATGCAAGCGGAGTTCAGTAAGGCTGCAGTGCAAATATACAGTATTCAGTGTTCAAGCCAGGAACACAATCTCATAGAAACTGTTTTGATAATAGTAGTGTATTGAGGCATGTGGCAGGCTATATAATGCCAATAAAGCAAATGTATTAAATGTATTAAAATGGTGTGAAGCAAAAACCTAAAACGACACTACATTTACCCTCCTAGGTACAGAATTGCAGCGCAGGTTGCAACGCAGCAGAACTTCCTGATGGCAAAGTGTCCACTTCCCCCATGCAGGGGGCCTTAAAGCTACTTTTCACAATTTGTAACTTTATTTTCCAAGACAAAGGAATTAGCTAATGAGCAAGCTCCCTTCTTTTACTTTTTACACAAGATGAACATGCATATTCTATTATATACTGTAATAGTGTACAACCTATTTATACGAGCTGATCATTCGCTCATGATGTAAAGTTGGCATTGTTGTATAACACTGGTGCATAATTTGTTAATTATACCCACACAGTATTTTAATAGATCACCTTTACCTAAATATGGACTATGAATGTAAAGAATTTTGTATCTCTTCTTGAAGCTACAAGTGTCTGTGTGTGTGTGCGCGCGCACGTGCGTGCGTTCGTGCTTGCTTGCTTTCATTCATTCATTCATTCATTCATTCATTCATTCATTCATTCATAAACTATTCAGGGAGTAGATTGAGGTTTCTACTAGAGTGATGTGAAGCTGTATCATCATAACTCATTTTATATATCATACAGAATAAGCAGGACAAAACCAATTCTTGAGAAAAAAACAATGAAATATTGTTTGAAGTTTTTGTTCTGACTGGGATAAAACAATCAATGAGGCTTCTCTTTAAGTATGTTGCCAATGTAATCATTCAGAATATCCACATGAACAGATTGCTTCAGGCAGCATGTTGAATATAAGAGGAGATAACATGAGGGAGAAGACAGAACCAGATGCCTGCTGTCTCTGGATAAAGAGATACTGAAGTGAGATTTAGCTGCCAGTCATTCATTCAATATGAAAATGTGAAGTGCCCTTTTTTTCCTTGGCCCACAAAATATCTTGAGCTGCACATGAACCTCATTTGAAATCACTTTACACTGGGATTGGCTCCACAAAGTAGAAGTTATCTGGATGCTACCTCCAATCAGGTCTGGGATAGTTGTTTTCTAGAAGCCCAAGTAGCTCTCTGAGAATTGCCATGGGATATGTAGCCTTCAGCTCCAGATTCTGTCTCTGGCATCGAGGAAAATTTTTAGAAAATCCGGATTTTCTGTTCTTCCCCAGAAGTCTTTTATCCATGTCAAAGAAGCCATAATGGCTTAATATTCACATAACACTAACCCATAAAAGTTGTAGCTTTCAAACTATAACGGACAGATCCACACATTACATTAAACCCAAGCAAAACAAACCACTTTATATCCATGATGTGTGAACAAAAAGTTTTAATTTTTTCGCCAATTTTTGAGTATATGAAATTAGAAAGGTAGGTCAAATACATGTTGGTAATGAGAATGTGATGAATACAGAATAATGCCCTTCTCTATGCTTGTCTATGAATCTGTCCAAATATAGTTTTAGTTTTAGGACTAAGGGCATTTGTATGGGCTTCATATTTACAAACTTCCTTTATACATTAAAGATAATTACTCATGCCTAATTCCCACTTATATCGGTATTTCATCCAAACTGAGGACAAGATGATGGCCTAAGCCACAAAAGATTAAAATTAACCAAAGGCAGCATTTTGTGCAACTGCAGCCACTAGCTCTTTAAACATGATAACAGAGGATTTTAGCCTATGCATTCCCACTGAGCAGTATTTTTCCTTTAATATTACTCAAAAGTTTGACGATACTTAAAGGAAACTTCTTAAAAGAACCATGGCTGAAATCTAGAAAGCACAGCATAAATGGGGGAAGGAGTACGCACAGATCCAGATTTACTTTGAAAGACTTAAAATACTACCTAGTGAATCCATTAGCTCCTTTCCTGCCTAAAATCAATTTATCTGTTCAGCCAATCAACATGGAGACTTGACTAGATGAATACAGTTATATGCAGCTACATGCTTGATATAAATGTATGGAATGAAGTTTATAAGATGATGGATGTAACAATCTCATAGCTTTATCCTATTACCTCATCATCTGTATAAAACTGCCTGTTTTCTGATCTTACATATAATTTATAACATTATTGTTATTTAATTCTACTGCTGAAAAAAAAAACAAGTCTATAAACACAGACTCTAACAATTGTATTTACCTTCTACAGTGGCAAAAACAGGGATTGTACAGGAAATAAATGGTCTACGTTATTTCTTACATGGGTAATATAGAATACTTCCATGAATTCAGAGTACTTCAGTATGTAAGGAAAAGAATATATACAAAGTTTTAATTATATGCTGAATGGAAAAAATGCCTCAAACTGGAAAGAGGGTGTGATCCTGCATTTAACAATTGATCAAACAGAGCAGTTTATTTAACTGCTGTCGAACAGAAGTCCATTTAAATCACTTTTCAGTGACCTTGGTTTATTCCCTTGTGAGTTCACTAAGCAATGTAGCCATTTCACTCCAAGAAGTATATGATTCACCAGCCTGCAATTTTCATATCACTGTTTTCTAATCATTATCTTTGGATCATTTTGCCCCTAAAAGAGATCCTGATATCACTTGTAGCAATAATCAGTGATGCTCCTGCTTGCAAACTTTAAAAGCAGCTTTGGAGACTGCCAGGGAATCTCAGGGCTGCAGGCTCATTTGGTTGGGAAATTGAAAAACATCCTGGAAGAAGGACGTGGGAACTCACTTCTGTACTCCTGCCAAGAAGGATAAGGCACTTTTATAGGTGGAATGAAGTAAGGAAACCAGATTAAAGCATAGAGAGGAGATGGCCTGAGGATAAAAATAGGGAACCCTGGCAAAGCCAAGCCAAGCCAAGGTTACTTCTTAGCCCTGCAAAATGTCGATCTAGATGTACATACGGCCAGGCAAACTGATAGTACAGAAGGAATAAGTCTATTTCTTCCCTGCTGATGTCTCTTCCTGTCTTCTGTTTTATAATTTTTTCCAGATATTTGAAAGGGAAAAGGCTATATAATTTCAGTATAACATACACTGTTTACCTGAGGCTGTGTTGTGTCTTATTCATTTATTTAAAACATTTGTATAGCCCTTCCCATTTAAAAAACTCAAAGTGCTTTACAATAAAATGCATACAATTAAACTGTAAGAGCGCTTAATAAAAACATACATTAAAGCGTATATAAAATATATAAAATAAAATAATAACAGAGAGAGGAAAAAACAACACTAAAAAGGTAAAGAGAAAAAAAGTCAACAGCAGCAGTAAGAGCCCCCCCCCCCCCCCAA